CCTTTCTTTCAAAATACTATGTTACTTAATCATAGAAATTATATATATATTTAAAATACTAAATAATAAAAAATAATAATATTTATTTGTTCATTCTCTCATTGGCACAAAAATACAGACACAAAATACAAATTTCAGCATTAACAGGCAAAATCTGTGTGAGGGAGACTGGCGACTGTACTAGGAACCTGTATTACAGATTGCCAGTCCCTCCGCATCCGGACCGAATGGAATTTAAGTATGTACATCAATTTGATCGAGAGACTATTACAAATATTACAAATATACTCACATTTAAGTGGGTGTGTGTGATGGTGCATGTATGGTTTAGTGTATGTAAGTGTTAATGTATGTATGTGTTAGTGAATTTATGACTTAGTGTATATATGTCTTAGTGAAGCATATATGAGCATGGGTGATAGTGGTGTACCTATGTACTTTACATAACGTGTTAGTGTTAGGTACTTTAGCTTGAGGACTACTAACAACTTCTCAGTCGCCCTCGTAGTCTAGATTTTTAAGCCATTTTGACTGTGGCTTTTTACACTCATATTTACTAAGCGAATGTTGATCAACCTTTTATCTTGTTATAGGTGACAGCCCATAAAACCAAAAAACCTTCTTGGAAATTGGACCAACGGGTATCTGAGGTGCAGACTTTTATTTGCATGTTTGTTGTCATTCAAAGAGACTAGAAAGTTATGGAGTTTTAAAAGTTTCAGTATAAATAGTTGACGAACACTAAATGATATAGATCTTTGGTAGGGTAAAAAAATGGTTTAGAATAAAAAAAAATACTAGGATTTTAGGTTCACAGACTATTATAATCTTTATTATGTATATTGAGTAGGTCTGTGTACACTAACCTTACTCTAAAAAAAGTTCGAAAGCCTTCGTTTAAGCCCATTATCGTGTAAGGGTAGCCGCAGAGGACATGAATCCTTACCATGCAACACTTCAACGTTTCCCACGTAACAAGACTATTACGTTGTACATCGCTTATTAAGTAAATCTTCGGGATGGAGATTGTTCCCATAAAATGCTTGTGTTTTAAGTTTTTTGACGATTCCATTATATTTAAACTCTCTTGTTTATAAAAACTCACTGTGTATCTGCTTCTAAATATTTATATTTTTTATTTTAAGGGTCTAAAACATTATTGTTTTAGTAAAAATATTTAATTAGAAGATATAAATATAATATGTTTTTTATGGTTTTATGTCAATCACGTATTCTATTTAATTGTCTCAGCACAAAGACACAATTTAACCATACGATCTAAGACTAATAATAACTAAAACTAACCTAATTGACTAAAAAGTATAATAAATTAAATGTCCAGTAACACTACTTACAGCACTGGACGTGAATAGCAAAAATTAATACATATAACATTTGGTTTGCGCTTTATTTATTTGGTTAGCCAACAGGAAAAACGTCAATGTAAATGTATATCAACTCCAGTGAAAATATTATGGAAGTAATTCAATCTGTTAAAATGTTATAGTTTTTTTTCTAATCAAGCTATAATTATCTATATTAAAAACTAGAACAGGTACAGTTGACAACTTAATTCAAAAACCAATCAAAGCTTTACTCGTTTGTTTGACTACAACAAACACACCTTGTTGAATTATTTATGATAATAACAGCTGCGACATTAAGGAAAGTGCACCGATTGTCGTGGTTTCTAATAAACAGTAAATTCTGATTCGAAAGTGATCCATGGATCACGATCTAGACCGCGCCTTAATGAGTCTTAACTAACTCAGTTGATCTCTACGTTACGTGAGTGTGATGTTCGGAAACAAAAATTCAAAGCGAATTTTTTGCACAAAATTTACCTAGAAATGTTTCTTCACCAATTGCGAGTAGGTAATTTTTCCTAGTCCTAATTTTTAACCGTATATTTTTCTATATCAATTCCTATTGTCACATGTTTTTATTTTAAATAGCACTTGGCCAGAAGTAACGTAATCAAACAATATAATCCAACTATATCAAGGGGAAGATGATTTAACTTTTAAAGGTAAGGCAATAGCGTAGGACAGTAATTAGACCATAATTTTTGTCAAAAATAATAATTAACTGTTATTATTATTATGACACCACGATAATTATATAAAAAAACTAGCTGACCGGGCAAACGTCGTTTTGCCATGTATATCATTTATATTAAAAAATAGGGGTTGATCGTACAAGGGTGAAAATTGGGGATTGTATGTATTTTTTAATGCTGTATCATAAAAAAATAAAAAATAAGTAATTTATCTAAAAATTTAAAAAAATAATTTTGGTGTGGACTACCCTTAACATTTAGGGGGATGAAAAATAGATGTTGTCCGATTCTCAGACATACCCAATAAGCACACAAAATTTCATGAGAATCAGTCAAGCCGTTTCGGAGGAGTTTAACTACAAACACCGCGACACGAGAATTTTATATATTAGATATGACATTTGCATGCCTATTAATATGGCTGATTGTGCGGATTTATGTTATTAATCAATCCGAACGAACCACTTTTGAAAACTATTTATTATTATTATTCAATATATAAGAGAGGAAAATACTTCTTTGAAATACCTTAAATTATCTTTATTAATGAACAAATATCAATTATTAAAGCAATGCGATCATGCGGGCTTATGTAGTAGGTATGTGTCTATGATATTCCCACGCTCAGATACAATTTGCTACTGCGAATGTGTGCGTTCATTGAAAATTGGATGAAGCTACATTAGGGCTTGAATTGTAACATGGCTAATCAAGTTAACCATGAACAGATATGATGATAAATTAATACATAAACCTTCCAATAGGACAAATACTTACTGGTTGCAACAAGTTATTCTTGACACAATCAAAAATGTATTAGTACCGGAGTTCGAAGTCACAACCTTGGTTTTGATAATCGCGCTAACCACTAAGCTAACACTACTAAATTACCCTATAACGTGATAACGGTGGCGGTAAAAATTTTGATGTTCTTTTATCTAAATAACTTTCCGATAATATTCTGTGCCAGAAATCGTCGATTTTTGTGTCTAAACCATCTCTGTTATTACAATATTTCCTTCATTAAGAGAGTGTTAAATCACATAGAAAGAAAATACCATAACCTCAGGGTCGAGAGTCTCTCAAGCCATAGGTAATCCTGGCAGGTAATCCATGTAATGGGCACATAAAGAACCGAAAGTTTTGTTTGGACCAATTTTCGGATAATAGAAGCTAACTAGCCCAGATACCAACGCTAGTAATTGTCACACTTATGTGTTACGATAGGGAATCCCTGCACGTGCAAGTCTTATATATTAACTTTATTGAATACCACTCGATTTGCAAAACAGAAATTATATACTCGTCCTCAATAATTTCGCGCGTTATAACACATAACGAACGAACATTCTTATTAGAATATTCAGCGTTTAAATAGAGAACAAGAATGTTTAAATGTGATCAGAAACGTACTTAGCAAAAGCGTGGTTCTTTTTTGGCTGAAGTTTATTTTTATTCCATGAAAAAAAAGTAAGACTTAGAAATTTGAGTCATGAGAAGTGAGCGTTCACCTCTCTAATTGCCTTTGCATAATTTCCATTCGCGTACAAATATTGCAATAATGACAATAGCAATTAGTCTTTTTTATATTTAAAGTCGTGATTTTAAATACAAAATTTAAAAAAGTAAACGAATTTATGGGAACTCTAAAATAACATGTTACAATAATATTTAATTATATTATTTATTTTATAAGTATTACTACTTATTAAGTAGAAAAAATAATACTCAAAACTAAAAATAAATTGAGATATTAAAACTCTTGTATAATACGATTCTAGTACATTAGCGGATAGCAGATTAAAGTAGTCCATAAAGTATTTTTTACTGAGCTAGCAAACTAATGTAGGTATATATAATTACCATCATATCATGCGTTCAAACGGATTCATTTTCTTATCAGAATTGGGTTCACCTTGGGTATTAATTTATAACCGAAATTGATACAACGAATTTCTTTCACACAGTCTGTCATTTAAGTAAATATTAACATTATCAAATTCTGCTGTAATATAATTTATCGCACAATCGCTCTCAAGGGCTTCGTTCTCGACCGTTAGTAAGCAAACATTGAAATAGGCGCGGTCTGTCCACAAATGACCGATCATTGAGGACTTCTAATTGTTAAAAATATCTAATTTGAATACATAGTTTATCTATAATACATATCCGGTTAGGTGGGAAAGTACTTGTTAGAGTATTATCATCCTTCCGGTCATTATTCACTCATTAGTCAGTGATTAGTTTAAAAATTAGTCAGCTCAATTCAATCGAGCTTAGTGGAAATTAATTTTGCCATGTCGGCCATTTTACCAACTCAACGTATATTCTTGAAAAGTTTTAATAATAACGAATGAGGTATTTCCATCATGGTTCTATCAATTATTATAACATGTGTCAATTCGGTGATTAGGTATCTTAAGTCTGTCAACTAAATAAATAAGTGGAAATACTTTTAATATTTACTTCGTTAAAATGGTATATGTGAGACAGAGTTATCAATGATAACGCCCAAGATAACGAAGATGACGGCTCAATCTCAATTTTTTAACAAATTTTCATTGGAATTACTCAACTCGATACGTTATTGAAGCTACAAATCGTGTCTCTATATTTGAGGGAACAAGGACGAGTATCGTATATCTCGTTAAGAGTGTTTACAGAGTTCCAATATTATTGGTTGCTTAATTGTAATAGTGTCGCCGTTGACAGAATTGACAGGCTGTCATTTGGATAAATGATGGCATTTGTTTGCGCAAATGCTAGTGAGATAAGGGCCGATTATTCTGGATTTTAATTTAAATACTTCACGCACATAGATGTCTATCTATTATTTATTATTCTGACTACTTTGTTATAAGTTTTTGTGAAAACCAAACTCATGTTGTACGTATTTTGGTTGCAGGAAAGCATGTGATGCCGGCCCTTGACGCCCGGCGCCATGCCCACGCCGCTGCAGCCAGGCGGCCCCGCTAGCGGCCCGCCCTCGGAGCGCAAGCGGCGCCGCAAGCGCGACGATCCGCAAAGTTCTGCCGCTCTCGAACCGGACGACGACGACGACGGTACCATGAGTCCTGAGGAGGACCCACGGGCTGCGCCAGCAGCACCAGCTGCCCCTACGCCAGTGCCCTCTTCTGCCCCCGCGCCAACCTCGCCGCCTGCCGCCCCCGACGCCGTAGATCTCACCTCACGCCGTGACTCGCCACCACTATCCTCGGATGTAGAACATTTCGATGGAAAGATAGTCTACAACCCTGACGGTTCAGCCTATATCATCGAAGATTCTGAGCTGTCAGAGGGTGAAACTAGCCTCTCGGACTTGCCTAAAATAGAACCTGGTTGCATTGTTGATAGCAGAGATAGCAACGTCGTTGAAAGACAGCTTGAATTCCCACAAATAGCAAGCGCATTCTACGTATCAAGAAATCCTTCGCTATACGGCGCTCTATATGGAAGACTAGCTGTAGAAAGAGCGAGGGCGAGACCTGACGCACCTGTAATGCACAGTTATCGAGTGTTTAGTTTTCGTGGAAAAGAGACTCCGAGACCTCAGTCTCCAACCCCTGAGTGCGTAAGCGTACCAGTTAAACCTATTCTAATGTGTTTTATTTGTAAACTTAGCTTTGGATACGCGAAGTCGTTTGTGGCACATGCACAATCTGATCATAGTTTATCTTTACTAGACTCTGAAAGAGATGCGCTGTCAAGAGAAAATGCATCGGCTATCATTCAATGTGTTGGTAAAGATAAAGAATCACTAGTCTCATTCTTAGAACCAGTAGGTGCAGCTGCGCCACAACGTGCTTCCATCTCTGGCAGTCCTGCCAACATGTCAGAACTATCAAGTCCATCAGTGGAAAAAAGGCTTGATCTTATGACGCCAGATAGAGACAATGAGAGTATGTTACCGAATGGATCATGCGATGACAGGAGGCCGAGTCCACCTGCCTGGAGGCCACCTAGATCATTAGCGGAATCATTATTACCACAACATTCTTTAATATCTGTGGCTCATCCTCATGCCATCAACGCCTCGGTTCAGCCGAGAGTAAGTCCTAACTCTTCACCGCCATTCCAAGCGGCACCACCAGCATTCCTTTCTGGAACAACGATAGGAGTGTGCCCAGATCATTTAGGCGGGAGACCATCTGGAGCTGATTGTCCAAAATGTGAGCTTATTTTAAATTCAGGTAGACTAGGAGGACCATTGGCTGGTATGCACAGTCGAAATTCGTGTAAAACCTTGAAGTGTCCAAAGTGTAATTGGCATTACAAATATCAAGAAACATTAGAAATTCACATGAAAGAAAAACACCCGGAAGCCGAAACCAGTTGCATTTACTGTATCGCTGGTCAACCTCATCCACGATTAGCTAGAGGAGAAACCTACACTTGTGGATATAAACCATATAGATGTGAAGTATGTAATTACTCAACAACGACTAAAGGAAACTTAAGCATTCATATGCAATCTGACAAGCATCTCAATAATATGCAAGAATTACAGAACGGTGGTAATCCAGGAGAAGGAAATTTACCACCTTCACAACATACACCACCTGGAGTACATAAGCCACCGTTACCACATCATTCACCTTTAGGTCAAAAACCAAAGCCTACATTTAGATGTGACGTATGCAACTATGAGACAAACGTGGCCAGAAACCTAAGGATACACATGACCTCAGAAAAACATACTCATAACATGCTTGTTCTACAGCAAAATGTAAAACACATGCAAACATTATCAGCGTTGCATCATAGACAACAGAGTCAGCAACAGCTTGAAAGCTTACTCCACTTTCATGGAGGAGAAGCGCCTCCTCCCAATCCTGAAGCTGCTTTGGCGGATATGGCCTACAACCAAGCCCTTATGATTCAGCTAATGACAGGTGGTCCAGGACCATCCCCACCTGAACTAGGCGCGCATTTAGATGTAGGCTTGAATCCAGATGCCATGGAGCCACCACCAGAACCAGCGGATCCCGAGCCAGAAAGAACTTTCCATTGCTGTATTTGCAACTGTTTCTCTACGGACTCCCTAGAAGCTCTCGGTCACCACTTGGCTCAGGACCGAACTAAAATTCGGGAGCAAGAGATACTTGCGCTGGTCGCCGGTCACTACGTATGTAAGCTGTGCACATACAAAACAAATTTAAAGGCCAACTTCCAACTTCATTGCAAGACTGATAAGCATTTGCAAAGGCTACAACATGTAAATCACGTTAAAGAAGGAGGTCCACGTAATGAGTGGAAACTTAAATTTTGTGGTGGAGTTGGCACTGGGGCCGCAGGAGTGGGTGGCGTTCAAGTCAGATGCTGTGCGTGTGATTACTATACGAACTCCGCACATAAGCTCCAGCTGCACGCAGCCGGTGCTCGTCATGAAGCTGCTGCGCTATTGTTGAGACACCTTCGCGATTGTTCTTCTAGACTACCACGTGATCGTTCGAGAGTATATCGATGTGCACTGTGTGGTTTTGGGGCACCTCACCGCCTCCCTCTACTGCAACACGTTCGTTCAGTGAAGCATCTTCAGATGGAACAGATTCATCAACTGCAGCGCCGTTCTGAGGGGAAAGACCCTACGCCGGACGTTGCTGAACTTTTCCAAGTTATACCTCAGCCATCGGAACTACCTAGTCCATTCGATCAACAGGAAAATGGTGAGTTTTTAATAATCGTACTAAAAAATATATATTATAAAACATATAACTTCTGTATTACAAAGGGCGCATCATTTGGTCGTTGTCGTTAAATCAAGGTTTTTATTTTAATTATTTATAGCGAGATTAATATTTAAGACTAACAAAGCTTTCTTTAATATATACCTACGCAAATTTTGGTCACAATCCTTCAGAGACGACATGACGGCCAGCCGGTTTCTAATAAGAAATAAATACCTAAGTAATTTAATATTATTCTAGTTAGTGACTGTTATTTTCCAAGCATAACAAACCTATTGTTACACTTACTGTTAACTTCCTTATGGCATTGTTTTGAAGTCATTAAGTAAAGAAATCTACAATAAAGAACTAGAATTTATAAAAAATTAAATGTTAACAAAAAGCTAAAGAAGGCAATTAGATGCGCGTGCGCAGATCGATAATCGAATCATTCTTTCTTTTTCACCTAGATGTCGCTCACCTATGTGAACGTTATGGTACCGAGTTATTTATTACTTATTATATTTAACATATTATTTCGCAACATTTTATACTATAAACCGTGAAAATTCCATTAAAATTAATGTCACCAGAACCATTACTGTAGTTCATATCGATAATATAATACGGAGTAGACTTATGAATGTGATTTCGAAACATCACTATCGGTTTCCAATTTAAAACGATTCGTTCCTTAATCAATTTTGTTTTGCGTTTTTTACAAACTTCTCACTTTTGAGCGAGTTAAATAATAAGACATCGCTGTATTAGTTTTCGGCGGAGTGAGGTTAATAAAGTGTGTTCTATTATCGACATTGTATGGTACATTACTGCGTGACTGGCACGTCGTGTTCAAATCCAGCGGTGACCATGTAAAGCGGTGGGTATTTAGCAAGGAACTCGTAATTACTATAATGAGATAATTACACACGGACAAAATTTAATTTGAAGCGCACATTAGAACAGGTTTCTTTAATAACGTACGCCTTACACGGTGTCGCCATAGTCGGCCTCAGTCATTGGTCGGAGGCGACTCCGCCCCGCGCGCGAGGGAGACGACGAGAAGATTTGAATTGAGAACGCGAATTTTCCATAAGTACCGCACGCGGGACAATGACTCGCATTACGTATGTGCCCATCGCACATTAAGAATGATTGCCCCCTTGTGATGAGCTCGCTACATCATCTTACAATGTCGCCGGCCGCATTTCTCGACGCATGTTTATGGTCACACTGAAATACAATAAACCATGAGAGAAATGTGGAGGCGAAAGAAATCCTACTTACACCATTGTGTCCCGTATTTATGCTTATTACTTATTTTCACCTTATTGAGCAAGTGCTTTAAACGTTCGATAACCATAAATTTACTTCCGCGATTGCTTTTGCATGGATGTATTGGATATCGAAAAGTGCCAAACACCACTGAAGATAAAATAAAACAATTTTTTTTTAATATTACCCTGTCAGTAAATTCTTTATAGTATCAAGATTATTATATTATCGATCGGAAAAGAAAACAGAAAATCGTGATCCAAATTGCGACATTTCAAATGCATTGTAATCCTAACGCCACGTTGTAAAAATTCTGACCCAAATCCCGCGAAACAAAGCGCACACAATACTTACTTTATGACGCTATAACGATGTGGTGTTTCCTTAGAAAAGGCTCTTTGTCCATTGACAAAAAGCGTTGGAGATCGCATTTATAGACACGGTCCCTTACCTGTTCCTATGCCAGACTGTGGGTCGGCCGGTATACATCATAAATTCACTGGTCACTCCGGTCCACGATAAGGGTCATTCCTTTGATTATTATTATGGATTTACTTACTCTCCCCTTCATTAGATGTAACGGTTTTAACTGTTTAAAACTATGAAACAAGTTCCCGCAAGGGCTGGTTTCAGCTGCGCTCGAGTGTGAGATAATTTCCAGTTTTAATTAATTGTGATGTCCCCTTATGAGATCACGCTTTCATTCGAATATCAAAATATTATTTGAATTTTTTGTTCTCAACTTTTTATCAAAGCTGTCTTAAGACTGTTACTGGGTCGGTCACTCGCATCCAAACTGAATTATATTTTAATTAGGATTGACAATAATTTTTATGAGAAACTTAATTATTTTGAAATTTTTAATATCGTAATATTATATTCGAATTTATCAGTTTGTAAACAAATTTAATTTAGCATGTCCAAAAAAGGTAAAATTCCTTTATGATAACATTATTTTTTGTAAACGATTGTCATTTTTACTACACTATATCTGTATTAATATATATTTTTATTTTTTATTATTTTATTTTTATTTTAAAAGGCACACTAACGGAACATACTAACACTTACAGAGAACACATGACATACAAGAACAACATTTAGAGGGAAACATTATATTGATAAAGAGAAAATAACTTAAACATTAAAAGTAAAAAACAAACTAGATTAAAAATTACAAATGTGCAATTTAAATTTATATTAAGTTTATATATTGTACTTAAAAGTTACTCAATAATGATAGATGTAACGAACGGTCGTTTTTTCACCTTCCTTATTTAAGCGTAAACAATATAGGGCAGCTTCTTTCACACGCTGCCGTGGACATATCCCTGGTCAAATAATAAATACCCTCACACGTTCTTCGCATCTACGCATCTCTCTCGCACTTATTGTCAAATTCACATACGATCTGCCAAATGCATTTGATCTGACGCGAATTCGAACCTTTTGTAATAATGAACAATGATTGTTTGCCCGCTCTGTATCTTCTTTGTGTGCAAAATTACAATATACTTGTTACGTTGTATTAATGTGCCTGTGAATGTGTGCGTACGGGGTGGATAGAGCGATACCTTTGTCTTGCTGGGACGACGCAAACAAAACAAGTCTTACTAATAATATAAAGGAGAAGAATTTTATTTTTAACTTCAATTCAGAATAGTAACAAACGCTGGCACCGAACAATAGTCAGCTTCATTTATAAAAATAATCTTTTTTGTAGATAAATCTCACGTAGACGTAGGTAGACATTGTTAACATGTTCAGATTACCGATTGCTATCCATTCCGTGTGCACATTCCGTACAAGAAAGTAAGTCACTTTGCACGCCCACACTCCCCTGATTTAATTATCTCTTACTTAATGTATATTTTCTTTTTGTTAACAGACAACAAGGAGCCTATTGACCAAAAACCTGAACTAACTCAGGAGCAAAAGATGATGCGATTTTTGGAACAACACCAACAGCAACAGCAACAACAACAGCAGCAAGTCCCTCAACAATCCATACCTCAAGTATCGAATGAAAAAGAAGAAGAAGACATTTCACCATCGCACACGTGCCCATACTGTAATTTCAGCTGTGATAGCGAAAACAAGCTTCACATGCACGTCAACTCAATGCATGCTGACTCAGCAAGACACTTCATTTGTCCTTTGTGCCAAGATGCATTCAAGGATCGGCCAGCTCTCGAACGCCATGTGATGCAAATCCATTCTGTAAACTCAGAAGGTCTACAGCGGCTATTACTTTTAGTTGATCAAAGCCACTGGCTGAACGGAGCTAATCAATCTCAACGTGAAGATTCCAGGCAAGGTGATGAAGAACGTGAGAGAGAGATATCTTCACCACGCTCTGAAGGTAGCGTAGATGGTGAAACGGAAAGGTGTTCTACTTGCAACAGAACATTCCGAAACGTAGATGAACTTTGCCATCATCAAAATGAGTCTGGACATCTGGAATTGAAACAAACACCCCAAGGACCTGGTTATGTCTGTTGGAAAAAAGGTTGTAACCGTTATTTTGAGGCAGCTCATGCTCTACAAAACCACTTCAAAGAAGCGCATGCTCGCAACTCGATTGCTAATATGTCAGTATCAGAAAAACATGTTTACAAATATCGTTGCAATCAATGTAGTCTTGCATTCAAAACAGTCGAAAAACTTCAACTTCATTCTCAATATCATCTTATTCGCGACGCTACTAAATGTGTTCTATGTGGACGGAGCTTTAGATCAATATTAGCTCTACAAAAGCATGTGGAAACTTCTCATTCTGAATTATCGGAGGATGAACTCGCTGCTTTGAAACGTAGCTTGGCCTCTAATCCCTTACTGCAATCAAACCAAGGAACTGCATTAGATCACACTACAGCAGAATTATTGCGCAAAGAGGCCCTAAGAACACCAGATGATGAATTAGGGGAGATGGAAGATAGAGACTCCAGTGCCACTGTTGCTGACGAGTCAGGCCACAATGATGCTGAAAATTCCGATGACTCCATTATTTATAAAGATCAACAATTCTTAGAAGATTATTTGAATTCTCAGGCTATGGCAGAAGATTCTTATAACGATCCAAATAGAAAATATAAGTGCCATCGTTGCAAAGTTGCATTTACAAGACAATCCTATCTTACAGCGCACAATAAGACGCTTCTTCACAGAAAAGGTGAAAAGTTAACTTATCCTATGGAAAAGTATCTCGACCCAAACCGACCGTTTAAGTGCGATGTATGTAAAGAGTCATTCACGCAGAAGAATATTTTATTGGTCCATTATAACAGCGTCAGTCATTTACATAAATTAAAACGAGCCATGCAAGAACAGCAAAATAATAATAATCCACCGGTTTCACCAGGCGCTGGAACTGCACCATCTAATTTGACTCTGACACCTAAAAGTACATCGAGTGAAGAGGATGATCGCAAAAGATACAAATGCAATATATGCAAAGTAGCTTATACGCAAGGCAGCACGTTAGACATTCATATGCGATCAGTTTTGCATCAAACACGTGCCGGCAAGTTGCAAGAGCTAGCCGCGGCGGGCCACGTTGACTTGACACGGCCTTTAGTAGAGCAGCCGGATAGAAACGACCCCGCTAAAATTTTACAAGACGTGTTGTCGCCAAAAAATACATCCCCTTCGTCTACTAGCAGCGGGGGGCCGCGCTCTTCACCCCCCGTGCGCCCAGGTAGCCCGCGATCCCCTCGCGCAGGTAGCGCCTCGTGCGACCGCTGCCACGCGTCATTCCCAACTGGGGAGCTACTCGACGCACATCGCATTACTTCATGTCCTTTTGGCGATGCGCGGGCGCAATCGCCACTCGGTGACGCAGAAGCCGCGGCTTTAGACGAGATGGTAGCTAAGGGCAATCCGCCCAAACGAAACTCACAAATGTATAAACAACTTCTCGAGACATTCGGCTTCGATCTCGTCATGCAATACAATGAAAATCAGCGCCGAAAACTGCAAGAGGAACGTGAAATGGCGCGAGTTCCGAGCCCTCCACCGCCGCCCCCTGAGGAGAAACCTCCGGATGAAACAAAATCTACCTGCCAACACTGTAACAAGGAGTTTTCTAGTGTATTCGTTTTAAAGACTCATTGTGAAGAAGTGCATAAAGATAAAGTTCCCCTGGAATTTTTAGAACAATTTGCGGAGCAATTCAAATCCGAGTATGAAAGAAAATCTGGTGCTCCGAATTCCCCTCGTGCTGGATCACCCGCGCCACAAGGCGACCGCTCGCCTTCACCACGGGGTGATAACAACGGAAATTACAATGAAAACACGAATGGTTCTAGTGAAGCTCAAGCGGGAGCGTTGCTTGCAGCACAAGTGCAAGAGATGCAGGCGGCACTGAACATGCTTCAGCTGCAGCAACAACTAGGACAATTGCATCCTATGGTAGCTCAGATGCTATCTCTGGGATTACCTCTTGGGTTAAATATGGGTGCATTAGCAGCTATGAACCTTCAGCCACCCCTGGTGCCGCTGATGATGCCACCTCCGCCTTTTGATTCGATGCCTTTCGCTCAAGACGCCCACATGAAACAGCAGCAACTTATTCAGCAACAACAACAGGTATGTCCTATTTATAGATTCTAAAGCACCTATTATTTTCGAAAACTATATTTATTTAATTAAAATACTTAATTACTATGTGTCAATAAAGTGTCTTAATATATATGTTAAATTGAGACTGTTAGTTAAACCAATCTTAATAAATCGTGATATAGAGTTATCACAAAGAACCCTGTGTACTTTTATACGTAACTTCTACATATGCAATAATCTGATAGTATTATAACATATTCATTAAAAGAGAAAATATGTTTATTAGTAATCATTATAACAATATACAGTATTTACAATTTTCTTAACCTACATAGTAATAATAAAAATAATTAAAAATTAATAAAAAGAAAATTAAAACCAATTTAAAAGTTTAAAAAAACATTTTTTATGTCATATTCATAGCAATACTGGTTATAAAGGATAGATTTATGAGCTGCCTAATTTTCGTATAAAAAAACACAAACATTAAAACAACTATCCCCTAAAGATACTATTTAAAAATCATCATAGTTAATTAAAAAACGAATCATTATTACATATTATCTTTCCGGTTTTATTACTTATAAAAATATAAAAACTATTTTATGTAATAGAAGAACAATAACTAACCTTAAATAATACAGTATTTACAATTTTCTTAACCTACAAAGTAATAATAAAAATAATTAAAAATAAATAAAATGAAAATCAATACAAATTTAAAAAGTTTGGTCCCTGTGCCTTTTGTAGGTTTGTGTTGTTAATAGTAATAGTATCAATCGTTAAATGGGGAATCCATAAGGGCAACGGTGTGTTTCTCTGTGAATACAAAAATTTATTAACAAAAGAAATTTCTATTAATATTTAAAAAAATATAAATTTGCAAATTATTCACCTCACCCGTGAATACAAAAGAAACAACATTTAAAGCCTATATTCTAGGTTTTATAAAGTAAAATAATATAATGAAAAATTTAAAATATCTTACATGTTATATTATGTCAAGTTACATAAATTAATTAGTTGTCACTTATTACCTTACTTTGTAGGTTAAGAAAATTGTAAATACTGTATTATTTAAGGTTAGTTATTGTTCTTCTGTTTTGTGCATTTGTATATTAATTTAACAAATAAAACATAATTATATTTTATCAATTTTATAAACATAATTAAATTTTATATACATAATTAAATTAAACATAATTATATTTTATGTAATATTAAATCAACTATGTATAAACAATAGATGTCAATTTATACGATGTAATTAATTGTAATGTTATAATTAATGGAATTATTTATTTTCATATAATTGCACAGACCTCAGTTTCTATCAACATATTTTACTGAATAAGTATCACATAAATTAAATAATGCGATCTTAATACGCTCTTGTTAACAATATTAAGGTATCATCCTATTATTTGAATTATCGTGTTTGTAGACTGTATGAGTTAAACTAACGGTCATGTGACCTATTTCATATAATATATTCATATTACACAACATTATTATGTTAAAATATTTGATCGTAGTCAGGACTACGCACATTGTAAGATAAGCGTTAACTATTTGTCCAAACTAACAGAGGGTTCTTTGTTAAGCGCCAAGGGCCAGGGTCTTATTATCTATAACAATTACCTTGTTATTTGAGCTTACCTGTATTCTACACGGCTTACGTGTATTCTTTAAGTCTCTTCAGATTCTTCGCCTCTACGTAATTAAAATAAAATAATATTATTTTTAATTAAATTCTATTCTTTGCAGGCTAATGCTGCTGGGCAAAAAAGAGCTCGAACACGTATTACTGATGATCAATTGAAGATTTTACGATCGCACTTTGATATTAATAACTCGCCAAGTGATGAAGCTATTGCTAAAATGGCCAAACAATCTGGCCTCGCTACAAAGGTCATAAAACATTGGTTCCGAAACACACTATTTAAGGAACGTCAACGTAACAAAGATTCACCTTATAATTTTAACAATCCACCTTCGACTACACTAAATCTTGAAGAATATGAAAAAACTGGTGAAGCGAAAGTGACTACCTTGGATTCATCAGCGAGCTCAGATGAAGGAAAACCACCACCAGAAAAAAAAGCAAAAACTGAAGAAAATATGATTGTCGCTCAACCAGAGGTGAAATGTGAACCAAATGAAGAGCCAACAATGGAGGAAAAATACAATTCATATGATGACCGACACCAAGAAGATCAAAGTTTTATATTTCCTCAAATTCCATCCCAAAGTCCTGCTCTAAGTACACCTGACTTGCACCAAAACATATCTCGGCCTCAGACGCCGACACATTTATCTTTAAACTCCTTAATACAGTCTCAACTGGATTCAATACCAGCTACTAGTATACCACAACCACCACACCCGTCAATGCTTCCACCTAAAATTAATCCTAATTTCACGTCCCCAAACTCCGCGCCCCCGAACGTCCTACCTTTGACCCCAAATCGCAGCCTCAGTCCTGGCAGGGGACCGGCCGATTTCGGACTTTCCGGGGGCAACTCGAACGGATCCAACAGCTCGGGGTCTTCTGGCAAACGCGCCAACAGAACTAGATTTACAGACTATCAAATAAAAGTATTACAAGAGTTTTTTGAAAATAATGCTTACCCAAAAGATGACGATTTAGAATACCTTTCTAAACTATTAGGTCTTAGCCCAAGAGTTATAGTAGTATGGTTTCAAAACGCTCGGCAGAAAGCTAGAAAAGTATACGAAAACCAACCAGCCGCAGATCCACCTGCGGGATCCATGGATGATGCTAACCGATTTCAACGCACACCAGGTCTCAACTACCAATGCAAAAAATGTCAACTCGTATTTCAAAGATACTATGAATTAATTCGACACCAGAAGACTCATTGTTTTAAGGAGGAGGATGCGAAACGATCTGCGCAGGCACAAGCGGCAGCTGCGCAGGTTGCTGCAACACTAAGCAGCGAAGACTCAAATTCAAGCACCGTAGAACACCACGTTCCGCATGTGCCAGTTTCACCGGCACCACCTCGTACTCCAACGCCTGCTGCGCCCAACTACCCAGTTTCACCAGCTCCCCCAACACCTCATACGCCTGTCACGCCTCTCTCACACAACCCTAGAGATGATAAAGATGGTAATTTTCAATGTGATAAATGCAACCTAGTCTTCCCGCGATTTGACTTATGGCGAGAGCATCAGATGGTGCATTTTATGAATCCAAACTTATTTCCCACATACCCACCTGACTCTCCTTTTGGAATTTTACAACAACATGCTCAACTTCAACAATTAAATGCGTCCTTATCAAATGAAGAGGCTCGTCACCCTTTAGTGGCTGCACTTAATCAGCAAGTTAAAAGAAAGTTTGACGATTTTGAAGAAACAGACACTGGTGAGCAGCCGAAGGATAAGCGACTAAGAACAACTATTCTGCCAGAGCAATTAGATTACTTGTATCAAAAGTATCAAATAGAATCAAATCCTTCAAGAAAAATGCTCGAGAATATTGCCCGAGAAGTTGGTTTAAAGAAAAGAGTTGTTCAAGTTTGGTTCCAAAATACAAGAGCTCGTGAAAGAAAAGGACAATTTCGTGCTCATGCGCAAGTTATTAATAAACGATGTCCATTTTGTCCCGCTCTATTCAAAGTGAAGAGTGCGCTCGAAAGTCATTTAAGTACAAAACATGCTGATCAGTGTGCAAGAGGGGAAATAAATGTAGATGCATTACCAGATGAAGAGTTAAGTACGGAATCAACTCCAAGTTTTGGATCACAACAAAGTGACAGGCAGCAAAATTTTTCCCAAGCGGGGGCTCCCATGTTGCCCCCTATTTTTCCGCCGTTTCACTCAGACATGGAGAAATTTATCAAACAGTATAGTGAAGAGTCAATGAAGAGATATGTAAATGAACTCCAGGTTCAGGCTGCCGCTCAACAAAATGGTGGTAGCAATGAACCATCTGAGAGACGCCCTGAACATGGAAAATCGGAAATCCCTTTAGATCTCAGCAAACCTGTAGATTTATCACGGCCAGGATCCGACGCAGATGAAAGATCAGATACGGCATCTGAAACAATGGAATTCTATGAAGAAGACGACTCGTCTTCACTTGACTTTCACACGGGTCTACCAAATCAAAGGCCACCTGGTAAACGATTTCGAACACAAATGTCTTCTGTTCAAGTGAAGATCATGAAGTCTCTGTTTTGTGACTATAAAACGCCAACCATGGCTGAATGCGAAGCACTCGGGCGTGAAATTGGATTACCGAAACGTGTAGTCCAAGTTTGGTTCCAAAATGCTCGTGCCAAAGAGAAGAAAGCGAGGCTCGCAGCTGGTTTATCGGAGGTGTCAGACGCACTACCACCGGAAGATTGTCGCGTCTGCGACTTTAAATACAGCCACAAGTACTCGGTGCAAGATCATGTGTTTACGCGGGGGCACATCGCCGCCGTGCGCGCCCGCCTCGAGAACAGCGCTGGCGCAGGTGACGATGGTACACTAGCGTTGATGCAAATGGCGGCACGATTGGAGAGCGGTCTTGGCAACGAGCTCCACAACGCCTTCCTCCGCCCTCAGCTTGCCGGCAACGGTGAGTGCACTTGAACGTAGTTGTGATAGCGTAAGCATGCGTTGTGTTTAATGAACTTATTATTTAGAACCTCGCAGCGGCGAGCTTTGAAACGATTCGTAGTTTCCATACGTTTCGTTCGAAGCTCATATGTGCCGTGACGGTCGTTGATCTATTTTCCTACTAGTGATTCCTGTAAATAAACATTAGTTATATGAAGTGAATTATAACGGCGTATGTGGCACTCATATTCAAAGGGCTTAAATAAATCGGTACAAAATAGGTATTTTGTTCGCTCGTATTAATAACAATTCTTATTATTTAATGCTCATGCTAATAAGTATTGTTATTCAAACACAACAACCACGGTACATATTACTTTCGTAATGTCATTAAGTTTCTTTGTTTGGTTGTTGTTTTTGAATATGTGAGTGATGGATGGCGAGATGGTTGTCTTCGGAGGCGCGAGAGGCGTGCCGGCCGCGGCCGATGGGCGGCTCACAGACCACCGCTATTCAAATGCAAACGAACACAACAATGGTAGGAGTTAGGACGCGTGAAGGACGTCGTATATCTAATGGGACCGATCTGGCGCACATGCATTCGCTCCACATGAATAATCAATTATTTAAATTACGCCAATCAAAAGACTTTCTCGGTAATTCTATTCCGAAGCCAATTGTTCGCATTTCTTCATATTTATTTAGACTCGTTGAATATGATCGCCACATAAAGCCCGCGTAGTCTAGTAATCTGTTGCATAATATTATTCTTCCTAGTTGTTCATATTTAAAACTCCTATTAGGTATTAGCAAACGATTGTTGTAGGTGTGTAATGAAAACCAAATTATATATTTTAGAGAATTTAAAACGTTTTAGTTATTATATAAAGTCATAGCGAAGCCTGAAATCTATTAATATTTAATAAGGTGCCTTGTAAGAATCGAGTGTTGTAAATTATTATTGTAGTCCACTGTAAATAATTGAATCGTGTAAAAGTATACTACTAGCCGATACACAGATGTAAATGGTGATCGCTCGTGACATCTACTACAATGTAGTATTAGACATAGAGATAGATATTAAATATATTGTTCGTTTAGAGGCAGCTTAAGGACTTGTGATATAACTGTATGTAATTAGTTTGCATATGTTCGTAAAGGGCACGAAATACATACAAACATAACATAAGTTTGTACTTTACATTATAATGACTTTCGTGTGGGGCCGCCGGGTGTTACCGCATTTACATAAGAGTTGAATTTGGGGGGTTAGGCGATATGCAAATATTGTTTCTAATGCGTTCTCTACATAAAGATGTCAAAAACTCGTGCATTCTTAGCACGCGCTGCGGGTGCTGCCATTATATTTCGTATTTATTTATTATGTGAAAACTTGCCTTTCGTCTTAACCGCGTGTCAAGTATTCGAATGCAAATATCGCTTATAAATGTAACGAATAATCTTATAAATACTTAGCAGGTTTTATTATTGCATATCGCTTTGTTATTTTTTTGCATTATGTTATGTTTGTATTTATTTTTTACCTTTTGTTGTCTATTTGGTTTGTAGACGTCATGACGACAGATTTGCCTCGAGCACGACTTCCAATATTTTTATTTTTATTTGTATAATTTAATTTTAAACTAATTTTATGCAATCTGCATTTACTTGTTATTCAAATTATGAATCCAGTGCCAGCCAGTGATAATGAAATTCTCTAAACGGCATTTCCGATTGTAAACTAGGTACATAGTATTATTATTATCTACAGTTATTTTATTTGCCGAATTCGTTGAAATAAATGCAATATTTATATTATTGAATTATGTTTTTTTTGTTTCCTTGGTTCCTTTATCCTTAGTTCTTTGTGTTTTTTTTTTAATTTTTGCTTACAAGGAATTTCTCCTTGTTTTTGTTTTTTTAATCTCCTGCTAAGTTTGAGGACACAGGTGACTATTGTAGGTTATTTGAAAAGTAACTTAAGAATACCTGAGTATAAAACAAAGGAGGTCTTTGTTGATTTTCATATAACGAGGTTCAGAGTAAGTGTGAGTAAGACAAAAGATGTTTTAAATTATATGTCTCGCTTCGTGGGTGGCGCTGTCAGTGTTCACTGTTTGTTTTCTCACTTAACAATACAGATTGCTGGTTTTAATTAATATTCAAAAATGTATTTTATGTTAATTGCAACGATCGTGACGGTACGCCTCTGCTTAATACTGATCATACATACGTGTTATCCTATATAGACTTAAAGGAAATTTAATTAACCTTAAACTTAAAGTAACAAATCCATTTTTTGCAATAGAATTAAAAAATCTACATAATCAGAATTATCAATAATATTTGCAAAGAATTACGTAACAATTTTTTGATAAGTATTTTCTGCGAAAGTCACTTAACACCAAAATATGACCTCGAAAGTCCGGCAACGTGGCATCACTAAAAGGCATGCAAATAAAACTATACGAGAAAAAAGTTCCTTTATATTGATACTAAGACCCATATCTCTTAAGTAATCTTGGGTAAAGTTAGTACACCTTTATAGGCTCGATTCCCAACGAATCAAATCAATATTTGTTTCGAGTAGGCAAAGGAGGCATTTAACATTTCCTTAAAAACTCTCTCTCTCTCTTAAGTTGGCAGCTCATGTCTGAGCGTCGTGGTCAGCAACGAATCATCTGGAGCGGACTATCTGTTTCCATCCGTTTCTGTCCAGCGCTTCTATTATGACAGTGTACAGTTTTGAGGACGATCAGTCTTTCACTTGATCGGTCCATCTGGTTGGTGTTGGTGATCTTTTGCCTTCTGTGTTACCACCCACGATCAGTTTCTCCAAGTTCTTATCGCCTCTGCGCATTGTATGGCCGAAATAAGATACGATTCCTTAAAAACTATCAACAATAAAACCATACATTTGTCTGCCTCATTATACTGTCTACTCACAAATAACTGTCATGGACAATTTATTAAAAGTAACACGCTCTCACAAAAGTCCACGTGTTATGTATATGTTAGGCAATGATAGTGCGCAGTAAGGCAAATAAGCAGTGATGCCATCTTCTACATAATTTCCCCCTGGGACCAACTTTAAATGCCCCTAAATATTAATTTAAATCCTTAAAGATTTTGTTGTACACTCGCTTTAAGTGGTAATTTCATATATGATCAAAAATTTATTCAAGTAATGTAAAATAAAATAAAATAAAAAAACAAAGAAATACATTTCGATCTTTGACTGGTATAGATTTTTGATGTTTCCGTTTTGCCACGCTTGAAGTTTATATTTGGTTTAGTTTGTTGGTTGGGTTCTAATAATAAATTGTATAGAATCGTGGGTTTTTACGAAAAAATAAAATTCTTGTACTATGTACCTCCTAAGAACCCCCAAAACATTTTCATTTAAAACAAAGGGGGTTTCAAGGACCTGTCAAAACCCCCCAAATTCAGAGAGAATGGCATCACTGCAAATTAGTGTCAATGCGTAGAAGTCGTATTGTTTTCCTAATTAATGTCCATGCGATCACTGCACAAAAACTTGCCTAGTTACATGATAGTAAAAAATTATCTAAAAGAAATCCGCATTTAAAAGAATTGGGTATAGTATTTAACATAACTAAGACCTTGGTTGATAATAATTAGATTTTTGGCATTTGTCAGTAACTTTTGTAAATTTTCTTTTGTTAAGTAAGTACCTGTTATCTACAAAAATCTATAGGTAAGTACCTAATTTACAAAGAACGACATCTTATGATCAGGTAACTGACGTCAACTCAGTATAAAAGGGCTATATACCTATTTTCTGTACAAACATTAATTAAAAAACGTTTGGCTAAAGTTTTAAACTCAAATAAAAGTAATTAATTGTCCTATGCGAAGAATTGTCAAAAATTAAGGCCTCTATCGCACTTGCGTTGTAGGACCATGTGCGTTTTGTGTTAATTCTAACTACTTGTCCTAAAAAAAAATGAGAGCTAAAAAATACGTAGTTTTATACCTGCAGTAAGCGATATACGTAGCATTGAATTATTCCGTGATTTTAAATAAAAACTTAAGCCACCCACTCAATATTCGAGATCTCATTACAAAAAATATTAAATTGCCGATACACAATAGAATAAGGCTAAAGTTGGAAAAAATCCTCCCGTTACCGAACCAACTAATTATTTATTTCATTGTTAAACACGGCAGCACGACGTGCTTGCCAGAAAACAACTCTTTTTGTTATATTACAATAGATTTTTTATAAAATTAAACGATACCGTGCTCTATTTTGTATTGGAGATATATTTAAGGGTAATGTAGGTGATATAATGCCTAACGAAATATTTTATTGAAGCTGTCGCAGGCCAGCCCCAGATACATTACAAATTCAGTAGGTAAAGATATGTATGATCACTTTGTCTAAAGAACAATATAAAATCAGCACCTAACAAGAAAACCAATTTTACGGTTAATTAATATATAGGCTATTAAATGACGACGAATATTTGTTTTTATAGAAATATTTCTATCGTTTGTTGTTAATTTCAAAATTAAATCGTCAATCCTGTAACTTATGTATGAAAATTTGGAAACTGACGCAGGTCATTCTCAGACTTTTGCATAGATAATTCATTAGGTAGATAATCATTTATGATATGATATTTTATGTCTAAAGAACAATATAAAATCAATAGTCCAAGAAACTATCAAGAAAACGAATTTTCGATTCATAAATATATAGGATATCAACTAACGAATATACTGATTAATCGAAGTATTATATCGTTCTAAATCTACATTTTAATTTAAAATCAAATCATCAATCCCTCTGCAACTACTAAGAAAACGCACTATCGGAATTTTTTAAAACAAATAAAAACTAATTATACAAATACGAATGAACAGTACTCATATAGCCAACAACTGTACATTTCACGTAGTTATAGAAACTTTGACGTTTTACTTAATAAACGTAAAGAGGGACGGAGGGGAGGCCTGGAGTCACGTCGAGGACTCCCAAGCCATTACCCGCTCCAAACCGTATCGAC